TGTTTAACTTTCTAAGACAGGACTAGGAAGTAGCTTACAGGATATTGGAACTTCTCGTAACTCTATGACCCATAAATTATTTCTATTTATAGATATCTAAAGTCACAAACGAACGAACCAATAATAATTATAAAATAATAAGGACTCATAATACTTTCTTAAAACAGGAATATTTGACATTTTAAATAAAACTGTCTTTTCGGATTTTTTCGCGGATTTATTCAGATTTTTTGTTCCAAGTAAAGTTAAGAATTTCTATTTATTTATCAATATAAATAAAACTGTTTTTTCGGATTTTTTCGCGGATTTATTCAGATTTTTTGTTCCAAGTAAAGTTAAGAATTTCTATTTATTTATCAATATAAATAAATAGAAATTCTTGTTTCTAATGCTTTATAGCATTCACCAGGAACTCTTTCCCGTGACCTTTATTGATATAAAGCATTCGAAACGTTGGGAATAAAAAATCTAAATATATTTGCGTAAAGATCCGAAAAGATGTATTTTTTTTATATTATAAAGACTCCTTATATTACATCCAAGAAAGCAAAACGAAAAGTTAGATAATGTACAAGGCCGCCTTATCGCTAAAATATCGATCTCTTCCAGGCAACTTTCAAAACTTTCCAAAACTAAGGTGCACGAAATAGCAAACTGTAAGGGCGAAGTGTTGTGAATAATAACAGAGTAACTAACAAGATCATTTTCAAAAAGCTACTATTATTAAAAGCCTTATATATTTTGACCTATGAACAGACAGACATCAATATATCATATATATATATAAAGTCAGCAAAATACGAGCGAGATTAATCTGCTGAAACTCAGTTTGTTTAGTGCTAATTAAACTCGCGTACTCTCAATGTCGCATCAAACTAATACTGTTATTATACACTTGCCTATCTCCTCTACAACTGAGACTAGTGAATGAATAACGTAATATGCAAAATTTACTAACAATAACTTTCAAAACCCCTACACTGTTGACAAGTGTGACTTTCTATAAACAATAACGCTAATCTATACATATAATAAAGTTGTAACAAAGTCGAATCTGTACATTAAATATTTTTTGGAAAATTTAATTGAAATAGACATTATTATCCATACAGAGTCCGAATCTATAGTTTTTAGAATTTTTGTCTGTCTGTCTGTCTGTCTGTCTGTCTGTCTGTCTGTCTGTCTGTCTGTCTGTCTGTCTATCTGTCTGTCTGTCTGTTACCGCATCACAGAAAAACTACTGAAGGGATTTTGATGAAATTTGGTATGGTGATAGCTGGTTATCCGGGTCCACATATAGGATACTTTTTACCGAGGGAAAATACCTATCTCATTTCTGAGAAAAAATACAAAAACTGCAATGTAAGAGTATACTAATATGCAAAACATAATAATTTGGTTTTTGGTCACCTGAACGCGGGCGAAGCCGCGGGCAATGCTAGTATTATATATAAGTCGCTTACGGTTTTCTCATTATATTTTCATTTTACTTTACACCATGACTTTTACAGTATTATAACATGTATAGTTTTTACACTTTAAAATAAATGATACAGTTAATGTTATGTTAATATTTTACTGCTGTTGCTGGAATCGTCCAAACGTCGAAACTAGAGCACGAGTACATTGAGCTTTTACTTTCTTAATCTACATAAGAGATACAGCTTTTTTAATACATTTAATTAATTATTTCGGACATGATTTATTCTATTTAAAAGTTATAAATTAAATTGGCTAATTGTCTTTAATTGATATATGATAAATCCACCCAAAAATGTGAAACAAAACATTTTTAAAGCTTGATTTGTATGTCCTTTTTAAAGTCCCACTGCTGGGCACGGGCCTCCCTTCAATACGAGGGGGATCAGGCCATATCCCACCACGCTGGCCAAGTGCGGGTTGGCGGACTTCACATGTCTTATGAAAACTTGCTAGGTTCTTTCAGACATGCAGTTTTCCTCACGATATTTTTCCTTCACCGTAAGGCAAGTGGTAATCATGTTAAAAATGATTCGCACATGAAAATATCAGACGAGTGAGACCCGGGATTTGAACCCGCTTCACTTGGTTTCCCAAGCAAGCGCGTTACCACTGGGCTACCACTGTCTTGTATGTACTTGTTACATTTTAAATGTATGTATGTAAAGAAGTCATTTTACAATAGAAAATATAAAAGCTCGTATTACGTATACGTTTAAAAATCTAAAGTTCAAGAAACAGAAATATTTGAGATCGACCCAGTTTTGTGGAGTATAGAAAATTATGCACATAATTTAAAAAAGATTCTCATTGACTTATATTCTTTTGGTTTTGTTTCTCGATATTACTACAAAAGTTGCTTATAGATTATGTTTTATAGTATTTATGTATGCCACAGACATATTGTATGATTCGTCTTTCTACAAACGATGCCGTCTGATTGTTTTTATCGTCCGCGAGTTTGACGAAGGCAAATAAATAGACAGACAGACAAAGGTTTTAAATTTTAAGTTCTAATATAATATATGTTGTGTATCAATTTTACTAATTTTTATTTTATTATCATTAATACTTTATAGTTCATGTTATTTTATTAGTTTAAAAAAGCAAGATAATAATTAATATAGATAATAATAATTTAAATTATAATTATAACGCCTAAAATTCTTTCTAAAAAAAGTTTTCATGATTTGGCTGAATTATATTAATATCACCTTCAGCAGAAATTCAGGCTTGTTATTAAAATTTCGATTTCAGTGCTTATTTGAGTGGACGAGAGATTGATAATACGTATCACACAGATGAGGAACTGTCAAAAAAACTTAAGATTATTTAAATTTGAGCCTCTGATCTCAGAATTCTATACGTAGCTTTAGAAAAGCACTATTTCAATTATATAGAAAATTAGCGACTCACCCTAAACGATTACGTCTCAATATAGATTTATCAGAGATGAGATATTTTCCCGCAGTAAAAATATCCCATATGCTGACCCGGATAATCAGCTATCATCATACCAAATTTCATAAAAACTTGTCAAGTGATTTTCTTGTGACGCGTTCCCAGATATCTCTGGAGAATACCACTTTCCGGTAGTAGAAGATGACATAATATAGCTTATATCCTTCCTCAATAAACGGGCTATCTAATGCAAAAAGAATTTCTCTGCATCTTGATAATATTAGTATAGTACTTCATTTATTAGTAACATTTATTTAAGAAATAATTAAAACGTATGGATGTAAGTGAATGTTTGATATACTTATTGGTTCAATAATTATACAGTGCAGGTAATTTTCGCAAATAAAACTTTCTCCGGTGTAAATATTTATTGTATAACAGAGAAAGTTTTTGATATGAACTGTTATGATAAAATATTCTGCATAAAAAAATTTTGGATTACTTATATTATTATTTCATAAAATACTTACAACTTTTTTTATAAATAATCACTATTTTTATATACTCTCACTTTAAATTTAAATTAAATGTCTGTGAGGAATCTACCACCGGTTCAGAAGTCAGTTCTACTGCAAAAGCCGGCGAAAAATTCAAGAATGTTGTTCTATTTTAAAACAATTAATATTGCAATACAATATTATGTTCTTATCCTACTTGAGTATCAACTAATAGTAATCCAACAACACATTTACATCTGCAAAGTATCCCGCGACGGGATAATATGTTTTGTTTAGTGATACATTTTTAACTAGGGATAAAATCAAATCTATCCCACGGGAACCGTATATTTTTCCTGGATAAAAAGTAACCTATTCTAGACTATAATCTGTCTCTGTACCAAATTTTATTCAGATTCGTTTAGCTGTTCTGGCTTGAAACAGTAACAAACATCCATCCATCATCACAAACTTTCATATTTATAATATTAGTAGGATTTTTGATTCAATTGTTAATACGTCATGTTAAATGAGATTTTAACGCTGAATAACTTTTTCATTATTATCTGAATTTAATATTAGTTCGAGAGTCGGACTCAGACCCTCGGGGTTTATGCTACTAGTACTATCGTGCTTTGTAGAATCGTTTTGTGTTCTCTTTTACTTATTTCACTTGGCATATTAGTGGCGTATATATATATATATATATATATATATATATATATATATATATATATATATGTAGTATTCATGTGTATAATTTATTAAAATAATTAGAATATTTTCTTACTTGGAAGTGTCGCAATGTTAGGTACTTTTTCTCAAGTCGTAATAATTTTTCAAATTGAACCGGTAATTCCATAGATTAGACTATGAGCGTCCAAATAAAAAACAAACAATCTTTTAATCACAATACATTATTATATATATATATATATATATATATATATATATATATATATATATATATATATATATAAAATACATAAGCTTATACGTATTCAAGTGAATACTTTAATAAAATTTAAATTATGTATAAAAATGCATTCGTCAATTACATACATATAATGAACATTTACGCAATCACAATCACAAGCTAGAACAGTAATCACTGAGAGACAAGGACTTTTTCTATTGCTTTTATATTCCACAATTATCTTTACAGCAAATACAAAACAATAATTTTACCTTAAACATAAAAAAGTCTGTGCGACAATAATTAGGTAGTGATAATAGTGAGAGGTAAGCGAGAAGTATTTGGAAATGTAAAGTGAAAGTGTCAGTGCGCGAATCGCAACCGACTAGCGCGTACGCGTGTTGGAAATAAAAAAAAAATATTATATGACACCGATGGAATCAGTGCGTTAGAATTTTACATAAGAAAAAAAACAAAAAATCTATAAAAAAAGTTCCCGCCAAATTCGCTGTCAACTGTCAAGTGAAGATTTACAAGTGTTGTTGGCTGTTGCGTCTATTGCATAATTAAAAGAAAGTTTTTGGTAAATAAATAAAAAAGGAGGTTGGATATGTTTTAAAATCTTCAGTGGAAGAGTTCAATTCTGAAGGTAGCGCCTGTATACGGGGCAAGGTTTCATCCTGTACCGCCGCCCCCGATATCGGCCAATGACGCGTAGGGAGACGCCCTCGCGCGCCGCGCTGCCATACTGTTTACTCCTTATCCTGAATGCCGGTAAGTCAATTTTACATGTCCGTACTCTATAGTTTAGTTAAACTTAGCTAGTTTTATAAGAATTTGAGAAAATTGACGTTTCATTACAATTTGTTGTTTTTATGAATATGGTTGATCATCACTGGAGAAAGTTTTATAAGCTTTCTTTGTGAAATTCATTGTTTTAAAACGTTATAAATATTATATATAATTCAATTTATACATATAAAATGATGATTTTTAATGCAGAAAAAATATTATTACTTGCATCTTTTTTTCTTCTTAGGTTTGACTAATTTTTGGGAACTCTTGGTAGAGTTGTTGACAATTAATTTTGATAAAAAGAATTTTCATTTTGAGTTTTGGGTTAGGTAGAATTAAAATTAAAAAAATATATAATTATATATGGTTAATTTCGATAAAATGTCATGGGTTCGATCCCTACTCAAGGACATGTTTTTATTACTATTTCACAGTTATTATTAATTGACATTAGCATAATTTTAATAACATAATAGCAACATAATATTAGAGTATTAAAATAAGGAAGAAAATTTATGTAAATTGTAGTTTTATGAAAGAGAAAAGTATTGATTGCCACTGACCCTTCATATCGAAATGAAGGGGTGACTACGGATTGGAAAGGTAGAGCATTGGAATGTTTATTTTGCAGCAATTATTTTTTCCCCCACGTATATTATGAAATGCTAAACTTAAAACTCGATCTTCTTTTAGTTTCTGTATATTTCTAGATATATCTGAATAAAAATTTATTAAATTTAAGTACTTTTTAAGAAAAAGTCATGTTAAAAAGCTATATTTTCCAAACGTCATAAAAATATTTAGGTCAGTCCAAAAATGATATTAGGTAATATTTTATAATTCTAGAAGGATTAAAATATGAAATTGAATGAGATAGTTCACATCTCTATTACGGAGATTTTTATGACACTAGAGGCGAATGGTTCTATGAATTTTAAACGTATTTTTAAATGGCCCCATAAAAAATCCGTAAAGCCTTTTCTAGTGGATTTGCTAAATCTTTATGTTCGACCATCAAGAAATCGTTATATTTATATATAAAATATACGTAATAAGGTTCCATACGTGTTATCTGTTCCAAGGTTCGAATGTAGATTTTTATGAATGATATATTGTACTGCCTAAAACTTTGAATTATACTAGTCGGCATATTTATTCTAAAAGATTGTCCTCAATTTTGCTCACTATAACTTTAGAAAGAACAGATTTTCTTACAAATATCCAATGTATTTTTTAAACTTTTAGGGGTTGAATTTTCAAAAATCATTTCTTAGCTTTTCGTAGCTTTTATACTTTCTGATATTTCGTGTTATTCTTTGAGTACTTTCCTTTTATATGTCTTTTTTTTATGTTGGGGACATTAATTACACACAGCACCATCTAATTCCATGGTAAGCTACGAGGTTTGTGTTATGGATACCAGATAGTTGATACACTACACATATATAACTTTTAATAGACTTTCGTGTTCATCACACAATTGAATGCTCCCAGCGGGACACGAAACCGCAACCGCTGTTACAACAAGTAGAGTCACTACAAACAGAGCCAAACGTGTCGTCAAATTTATATTAAATAGAAAAGAGAAGAAATGTATATATAGAGAAGAGTTTCGTTTTTCCATTGGTTTCACGTAACCCTAAAGAATTTACAACATATGTAAGTATGTCTGTGTACAATGAATAAAACATTCATAGATATGTATCTAACTAAACTGGTCTTATATCTAGGTGAGGGTCATTACTTGATGCTTTCAATGCTTATATATCAAAACGTATGTTAAATTATTTCTTATTTATTCAAACTCAAAATTAAAAGGCGAACACGCGCCTAGTGGTAAAATTCGACCAAAAACATTATTGAGAATTTGAGGGAAGCCTATATGAATAGAATAAATATATCTGTTTATATATAAAAAACTAAATTTCCAATTTTTTTATTAACATCACACAACAACACACAGCTCGAATTTGTAATAGTTAAAACAATAACAAATTATTTTACATAAAAATAATAAAAGAAAACAGAATAATTTCCATAGAGTCGACAGTAAACAGGTACACATAACAGCATTTTTTTGAAATATGCAAAAGTTAAGCAAATTAGCTTATTATAAATAAGTACCTTTGTTAGAAACAAACTCACAAACCCATGACTTTCAAATTTTCCACATTAAAATTTACACACATAAAATTATGAATTGCGTTTCAAATTTTAGTATAGATTTCTCAGAGATGAGATATTTTCCCGCAGTAAAAGTAACCTATATGTTGACCAAGATAACCAGCTATCGTCTTACCAAATTTCATCAAAATCTGTCCAGTAGTTTTCTCGTGATGCGGTCATAGACAGACAGACAGACAAAAATTCTAAAAACTATAGATTCGACCTCTGTATTGATAATGACTATTTCAATAAAATTTTCCAAAGAATATTTAATGTACAGATTCGACTCGGTTAGAATTTTATTATATGTAGAGATAAATTCAACGATTATCCGTTAATTGAGTGATAAATAACGTTTAATATCTAAGGTAACATAATAAAATATGTTGGCAGCAGGTGTATATACATTATATACATATATGTGTTTATTCTGCCTTATAACTTTTTATGAGCATTCATATGTCGTAACAGTGTTACCTAACATCCTGCGAGTGAACCACTATCGCTGTCTAACCGTGTATAGTGACATCATTCAAACTAGTTATGCCTATGAAAAAAGTACGATTTATATAATAATTAAGCGTACTTGTCTATAAAGTTGAAAATCGTGGGTTCGATTATCGTACGATGTAGTCACAGCTTTACTCAAGTCACCTCATAAGTTCAGGGTCGATACAATATTTTGTAAGGAAAAATGAAAAGAATATTGAATTAACATGTTACAAATTATAATTTGAAATTGTGATATCAAGTAGATATGCATTTAGTACACCAAGGCCACAGAATTATAAACCTTCCTTTCTAATATAATCGATATATGTATGTACATTGTATGTAGTGCTTAAATAAGCCTTGTCTATATCTTTTATACAACCATTCATAAATGAGCAGTGTTTCAGTGTCAGCAACGATAATAAATATAACTATTACAATATAAAAAATATAAATAAAACTATGAATTTTTAGAGACTGAAAATATGAAGTTTATATTTTACTTTGTATTATTTTATTAAAGTTCGTCCCTAGATACGTTTTAACGGTTAGTATGGAATAGACTATGTATATCTACGTACATAGGTATAGAAAAGTAGGTAAGAACTTTAAAAATTAAAAAAATATATATATCGCTTTCTTGAGAAACTTCCACTTCCCCCTCTTTACCCACTTAAGGGATGATTTTCGGGATGAATACTGTTAATGTCTTGTATAATATACTGTAAAACTATGTCCTTCCCAGGGTCCCAAACTATCTTCATACCAAATTTCATCTAAATCGATTCAGCGGATTAAGCGTGAAAAGATAACAGACACTCAAACAGACAGAGCATCTTTCGCATTTATAATATTAGTATGGATCTTCCAGTCATACAACGAATACCTCAGCTAGTTTTATTTTATTTAACGTCACCCATTAACTTGTTAGCAATTATGTATATCTACGTCTTAGTTAACCGCGAGCCACTGGGAATGTTAATTCTCTTCCAACATCGTTACAAAACAGCACGCTTCATTGTTTTACTTGCATCTCGTAATAGTCTGTATTACGATTACGATGCTTGCTCATTGCTTAAGTTATAATAGAAATATTCTTACATTGTATAGTTTTATCTTAGATGTTTTAGGGTCCCGTAGCCAAAAGGTAAAAATCTCCTTATAGTTTCGTCCTGTCTGTATGTCATAACCATTTTGCTCGGAGACTATTGGAGCTACAATTGATATAATTTATTATTATTGATATAATTTTGTCAATAAAGTGAACATAATATGGGTAAATATTTTATTATACTTTAGTTTAACTTTCGTATGTTAAAACAACATTAATGGATCAAATTATAGAAGATTCGATATGCGAGTCAAACTTGCATGTGCCTGATTTTTTTACTATATATGTATTTCCAAATAATAATTTTTACTACCATAATTTTTAGATTCTTGAACACTGTAGTTTACAAAACTATTAATTTTATGGCTATTTATTATCGCCACAGGTTTACCTATCCTTTCGCTAGTCAAAGATTACGGACTTTGATTGAAATTGAATTTCTACAATCCTTATTGCTAAAATTTCATTAAAATTGCTAATAGAAAACCGGTAAATGTATGAAAATAAAAGGTATATTATTGTGATTTATTCTATAGATAAAACGTATTTTTTGTATGTATATATGTATATGTTTGAAATTACTTAGAATTAGTGTCAGGAAACAAATACTAAGTCATGTGACACAGACACAGAATAGAATATATTTACTAGAACAGTCTAATTGCCATTTAGACGAAATAAATAAATAAGTAGTTCAAACCAACTTACGTCACGGCGCCCAATCTCAATTAGTTGCTCAACGAGACAAGCCATCGACGCAGGAGATATTTGCTTTCAATCTCAAAGTCCGAAGGAACGTCGATTCGGCATTATCTGTAAGAGATCAGGCGCAGGACCGACAGCTTTACGTGCATTCTTATGGGGGTAAACACCGTCAACTTCCCAACTTCGGGCTTATTACTAAAAACAGTAAGTTGGTCCAGCTCGGAAATCAAACCCAGACCTCCGTTCTACAATCGGACATGCTAGCCACTAGACCACCGAGACATTCAATAGACAGAATACTAAATAAACAAGCGTACAGATTTATTGTCCATGAAAATAATCCTTTCCTCGTGCAAAGTCCATAGAAAACGTTAAACATTCGCAGCGACAATAAGCATTGATATAAACGGTCCCGAGAGGGCGTGCTCTAGGAAGATTAGAGGATTAGACCCCCTCGAATACTCGCTAAAAATCAATTAGTTTATTGCGAATACGATGTTCTGCA